GCACTTCTAAGAATGGTGAGATGAATTTGTATTCTAGGTAGGCTGACCTTGAAGAACTCGACACTACGATTCTTCTCCGATCCCAAGTAGCACAGCGCATGCGTCAGCTGTCTTCCTGCGCGATTAATCACAGCGCATGCATCAGCTGTTTTCCCGTGCGATTAATTGCGGTGCATGCGTCAGCTGTCTTCCCATGCAATTAATCGCAGTGCGTGCGTTGAGCATCCTTTCAATATGACTGTTTGATTTGACCCGTGTTTCTTGAGTTGCTTTTCGTTCGCTTCATTTCTGTTTTTTCCCCTCAGTTTCGATTTACTTAAATCGAACAAATTTGGTGTGTAAGTCTACTGAAAATCGAACAAATTTGGTGTGTAAGTCTACTGAAAATCGAACAAATTTGGTGTGTAAGTCTACTGAAAATCGAACAAATTTGGTGTGTAAGTCTACTGAAAATCGAACAAATTTGGTGTGTAAGTCTACTGAAAATCGAACAAATTTGGTGTGTAAGTCTACTGAAAATCGAACAAATTTGGTGTGTAAGTCTACTGAAAATCGAACAAATTTGGTGTGTAAGTCTACTGAAAATCGAACAAATTTGGTGTGTGAGTCTACTGAAAAAAATTACTTAAAATTTTTGCCTTTTATAATTCAGTAACGCCCCCCCCCATACCCTAAATTACAGGATTTTCACAAAGGGTGGCGTTGAAAAATTTTCCGCTCCTTAGGGGGGGCGGCAGCTTCAAAAAGGTTGAGAATCACTGATCTATACTCATAGCATAGGCCTTGTCAATATGGAATTAAGTTTGGGGGAGGGGAGTTTGCCCCAGAGACCATTGTTATTCATTTGCTTACCATAAATGTCTTTTACCTTTTAATGCCATTTTACTCCATTTGAACAACCTTTAGTATTAGTAGTAGTAGTTTTATTTATTGTGTACATATAAACAAACATAGTACAGGTAATATTATATACAATATAATCCAGTGCCACAGTGAAACAAGCTCCTCACTAACTTTTTGTCTCAACAAAAAGTTGATAGTTTCTACCTGTCTTGAGTTTTTATTATTGTAACAATAATTCCCTTGCATAATCCTTTCAACTACTCACCTCTTCTATTCCCACCTTGTGGGGAGGATCTGTAATGGGGAAAAGAGGCAGACAGGTAATTGCCATCCCAGAACTTAGCTGGATTCTTTCCTCCCTCCCCACAAAGAGCTGTTGCCATTAACTGCCATATGGAAAGAACCCTGGAAAAAAATTTTGTTGGCTATTTTTTGTATTTTTATTTATGATTGTTTATATTGCTTATAAAGCACTTTAAGAGGATTACTATTCTGAGAAGAGAGATACAAATAATTGCAATCATGAATATCCACACACTGGTGCACACATCATGATAGATTATGCTCAGACTTCCTCATGTTTAACTTACCTCAGCTTCCCTTCCTATTTAATTCTACTCAGCTCATTCCTCACGCAAAATGCATTATTTTGCACTCCCCCCCCCAAATCTGGAACTACATAATACTCTTTTGTAGCAATTAGCCTAAATATAATATCTCTATTCTTGTGTTAACTATGAAATAAATGTGTTTCTATTGAAACCTTTGTTAATAAGATTCATCAGTCAGCTAAGAAAAAGTAAATCTCATATCTAAAACGGTTTTGCCCACTGAGTACATAATTGATTGGAGTGATATCCTTGTGGTGATTATGGCGTGGGTACATATATTCTCCAAGATAACTGTCAACCATCGATCAATATCCCTAATCCGTTTGACAGGAAAAAAAGGGTGAGACAACCAAAATAAGCAGACATAATTGACTGGTGAATGAAACTTACCTGCAAACAAAAATTTTTGACAGGCAAAAAAGAAGAGCCAATATGTTGTTCTAAGCATAAAGATTTATTTTCTAATAATAGCTAAGTTATTCAGAAATGAAGTACTATGGATGTAATGTTATGTTCTTTCTTCTTTTGAATTGAAGTTTGTGCTTATTGGCTCTATGCCAGTTCCATATATAAATGCAGTATAATCTGTCTTAAATACATGGCCTATTGTAGCTGTGAATAAGCCTCTACACAAATCACCGTGATCACATATGCATAAATATACAAAGAAATTAGACATATAGTTAATAAAGCAAAATGGAATTATTTATGTATGTGTTTTCTTTTTAGGATTCAAATGCCCAGTTTGTTCCAAGTTTGTTTCTTCAGAGGAAATGGATTTACATCTTGTAATGTGCTTGACAAAACCAAGGATAACTTATAATGGTAAGAAAAAGAGTTCATTGTTGATTGTTAGTCTAATAATTAAATGAATATAAACTTTGCAATTTTGATACATTTCTTCAGGTTAGATGTCTGAACATAATTACCAAGAATTAACATTAATACAGTATGTATCTAAGCTTTCTGTTGAATTTATCTGATATTTTATTTCAGCTGATTTTCTCTTTAATGCTTTTCCTAGATTGTTTTTATTTTTCAAGGATCATAATTAGTGTTTGAAAATTACTTGGCCATGTAACTAAGAAATCATTAGGACATACAGTATTTGATACTTTGAAGTTAAGCTGATGGCCTGTTTAATTCCTTAGTAGCACTAAAAGAATTTGAAATCAAGGATTTTTTCCACTTTGATACTTGTTTCTTGGCTATTCTTACGATGTGGCTTAATTGAAGAATCAAAAGTGAATGTTGGAAAACAGCTTGTCAAGTCATGAATCCTTACGGTGAATATACATTTTAAATGTGCAGAATAATCAGGGGACATGAGCAGAAAGTAGATCTGGGCCAACATAGAATTATACTGGCCACAACATTGGGTTCTTGGTGGTTGTATATACAATTTGATATGCATTTGTTTACATTCACTTATCAGAGTACTCAAATATTTTGGCAGAAACATACATACACAGAAACACACTGCTAAACTGGCTTTTTTCCAAGCTCAGGTTATAATTTGTTTTAAACAAATAATCCAGGAGTTTTAAATCAAATCCCAATTTCAAGTTAGTTTACAATCCTGGCTTGTTTGGGCACTATATATAATACTCCTGTGTGTTAAAAAAAATGATCTTCATATGCAGTTCCTGATCCCACAAGCATTACAGTCCTCATAGTCAAAACATTTACCCACGTTTGCCTTAAAGGAAGGACAGGGATGAATATAGCCTGTGCTAAAATAAATAAATAAAATTCTGGACTCAGAAAATCTGAGATATGTATATACTATACAAATTGAGAAAATGTATTCTTTTTTATTGATTTTTGCGATTTGCTTTGGGATTTATAGTCATAGTAATATTCATTTAGAAACATTTCTTTATCTTGTAATCCTGTGATATATTTTACTTTGTATAATAAACTACAATGACAATACAGTGACAATCCAAAGTTTCTCCAAGTTTCATCCTAGCCAGATAACTCAGGATCTCTTGGTCAATAAACCCAGAGCTGTTGATGAAAGATCTAACTGCAGCAGGTGGCACATATCTCACTACTTCTAGTTCTTGGTACTGATCCTGTGAAGAAGCTAGATTAAAACAGATTTAGATTATCTGTGTCACCCAGAAATCACTGCTGGAAGTTGTAGTTCAGTAACATCTGCATGACATAGCAATCTCACTTTAATGTAGGATTTTAAAGCACGTTATTGGGAAGGTGGAAAAACTGTTTTCTCTTTCAGAATTCTGGAGATGGCTGCAGAATGTTTTGTGTGATGATATAGGATAGGACAGCTGACAGCCCAGAATTAAAATATGCCGTTCTAGGTTAGCTTGCTATCTTATTCCACATTGCAAGCAGATCTCACTCAGGCCAGTATTCATATTTATAAAAAAAAATTATATGCTTCATACTTTTACAAATATAATCAATATTCACACACATAATATTGACTGTATTGGAAGCACAGAATGTTCTCCCCCTGCCCTCTTTGAATCGTGGAGACTAAGCACACTAATAATGGCATAATATTCATAGTAATGTAGACTATTAAGAATTTCCTACAAGTGGCATACCTACTTGCCTCCCATTGCTGATAGCAGGGAAGGCAAAGAGAAGGGCATAAATGCAACTTAAATGAACTGATCTTCACTTCATTTTTAGTTTGTGTTCTGACAAGTACAGTCGGAGCAAACGTGCCTGAGGGAGTACAGCTGCACTTGGGATTGGAGTTACATTGAGATGCAAAGTTAACTGGGCCATTTCCATAACAATTTTATGTTATTATTTTATATTTGTGCCAGATATATAGATGTAATTGTGAACATTGAGTCTTCATAAAATTTGCCAAGAGACAGAAATGGATGAAAGTATAAGCTTGAATATCAGAATCTGCAGAATCATGCAGTTGTGACTGATAGTAGGAGGGGAGGAAGTGGAGTCATGTAGGCAAAGTAAATGCTAGTGAAAGGTTTGGCAGATTTGATGCTCCTTGAGGACTCATCTTTTGATGATAAGATGACAACAAAAGTAAAAGTGCTGTAGTCTAAATTATATTAACAGAAGAAGAGACTGTTAAAAACCATAATGGAAAAAAAATCAGGTATGACTGTTTCTGGCAAACATATTTCAGTTCTTAAGGGGACCAGATATAAATATAAAAGGACTACATTCAAGTGTTATTTTTGAGTTCAATTTTCAGTTTCTTAGAAATTGAAGAGTTACCCACTGCACAAGTATACATAGAAAACTTGCATCAACTCTTCTAAAATTTAATGGGATAGCAAGACGCACAGGGAGACTAAAGCTCTTTTTCTAAAACATCTTTAAACCTATGACATTAGGAATGGTCAAATGACAAGGATAATGAACTGCTTTCAGTTCCTCCCCAATCTGTAAAATTGGAAAATTTATTAATCTTCCTTCACAGTGTTTTGAGACAAAAGAATTTGTATGCTCTTTGGACTATTTAAATAGAATTTCAGTGGAACTTTGTCTATTTGTTTCTATAATCACAAAAATATGGTTTTATTTTGATGTAACATTGGCGTGCAAATGTATAATAAATGCCTTAGTTATAAGGTTTTTTTTAATCCATTCAGTTGTGTCTGATTCTCGGAGACTGCCTGGACAAGTCCCTGCAGTTTTCTTGGCAAGATTTTTCAGAAATGATTTATAATCACAAAAATATGGTTTTATTTCTATAATCACAAAAATATGGTTTTATTTTGATGTAACATTGGCGTGCAAATGTATAATAAATGCCTTAGTTATAAGGTTTTTTTTAATCCATTCAGTTGTGTCTGATTCTCGGAGACTGCCTGGACAAGTCCCTGCAGTTTTCTTGGCAAGATTTTTCAGAAATGATTTGCCATTGCCTCCTTTCTAGGGCTGAGAGAAAGTGACTGGCCCAAGGTTGCCCAGCTGGCTTTGTGCCTAGGTGGGACTAGAAGTCACAGCCAGTTTCTAGCCTGATGCCTTAACCACTACACCAAATTGGCTCACTGAAAATATTTTTGCCTTATCAGTTTTTAAAAAGTTATTAAGAAAATGACCTAAATCGAATCTGTAAATGCTGTAATCTTGTGACTCTTGAGAATTGCATTTCCAGGTAGACACTGAGTCTTATCTCAGTGTGTTTATGCAGTGGTTTATGTTTGATGGCCCATAAGCACCTCATAAGAGAACATAATTATTTTATAGCTTAGTTCTCTAAACCAATAAAACAGGTTTTTCTTCCCCTTGGAATGTTCTCCAGTCTTAATACTGCTTTGTATCTGCTTTGTTTTATATCTTTCAAACTGCATTTAAAAATCAGTTTTAATTTTTTTCTATTCATATTGCAGGAATAGATGTTTATTTCTTTGTATTTTAAAATCTGAATAGATGTGTCTGAACTACTAAAAGAGGAGTCCTTTGATTACATAAATTGGAAAATATTTGTTATGTCATTTCACTTCATATAAGACTAACAAGTCCAACTCTAACACAAAAAATGGACATGTATTTATTTATTACTACAGTGTTGGGTTTTTCTTATTCTGGTACAGATCACAGACACAAAGACTGCATTTGTTTTTCTCAGTTTTATACAAAATACAACATAATTATACAAATTCCTTACTTCTAATCTTAATGCTAATTCTGTGCCTGTTTCTGTTTTCCTACCTATCTTACTCTACCATCTTCCTATTACAATTATTTTACAATTACTTCCATCTTATTTAATCTTTTTGTTTTGTTTTGTTCAGTCTCTATGTTCTATGTCTGTGTTCCTATGTTTGTAACACTATGTTTTCCTATCTTAACTATTTCTTAGCTCTTTAAATCTTATCTTTTTCCTCAAGTCTTCAACTCTTGTGGCCAGTCTCAGACCACTTGCATGTGAAAACTCTTTTCACTCTTCTATGGACTTGCGAATGGGCTTTTCTCTCCCCCCCCCCCCAACAATCACTCACAGTCCTCTTTCTGGTGCTGATTTGTGGAGCTCTGCAGCTGGGCTGCTGCAGGCAGTGGGCTTGCTTTGGTTTGCAGACTCTGGTCAGGCTCTTTTCCTCCTGCGTTGCTCAGCTCTGCCTCGCTCAGCTCTGCCTCTCAGTGGGTCTTGAAGCTCTAAGAATTGCAGTTTTCTTTTGCTGTCTGAAGACTGCTGCTGAGGTGCTGGCCTTTGTGTTGGAGGTTTCTCTTTCCTGCTTCTTTGCTGTCTTCCTGGCTTGACTCCTTTCACACCCTACCCACCACATGCTTGTTTTCTGTTTCATTTTATGGGAGAACCCCTTTCATATCTTCCCTTAATTTTGGTTTCTGTAGACTTTAGTCTACTAAGTTGTTCTTGAGAGGATTAGAAAAGGCCTATCTTTTGTGGACATACTGCAATTTGTCAGTCTCCTTCAAATGTGATCTAATTAATGCAGAATAGAATGAAACTGTCACCCCCTAATGATCTGTCCATTATGCTTATGTTAGCAAATCTAATTTTTTTCTTTGCTAGCTTAATGGATACTGTTTTTATCCATTAAGAAATATAGATGCTTCTTCTATCTTTTATTTATTTTTGTTCTTCCACACAAGAAATCTTAAATTTCATCTTGTTGGTTTTGAACATTTGATCATGTAACTTATGATCTGCCTAAATTCTGTTTTCTGTGATATCGCCCTCTCTCTGCATTTACATGTAATTTGCAAATAAAACTACCATCCCTGTGCAAGCCATTCCATATATATACATATACATATACATACATACATACATACATACATACATGCATGCATATATAAATTATACAAATGGAGATTTTGTATTTTAACAATTCCAAAGCTGGGAT